ATATGATTTTAATCTATAAAGGCAGATGTGGGTAATTTCTCAGGAAATACAATAGATCCAACGGTGATGGATGGTTAGAGTATTTGATTTGATGGGCATATGTTTCTTATTAATGTGAGAATTTCTAGCATTTATCTTTTTTTCTAGTGCATCTGGTGAGGATTAATGTGGAGGCTCTGTTGAGTCCTCTAATTAGTAATAGTAAGATTGATTTAGGAGATAGTCTTTTTGCTTAAGGGGTTGTGTAATATCTCTATACATAAGAGGATGACTGCTCCTAACCAGCCCATATCTCGGAAAAAAAATTGGGTGCAGACCCCTACACCCAACCACCGTGCAGACCCACTTTGGATGGAAGCCACGTGTCCCAAAAAGCCCGTCACACGGTTAGGGGAGGTTGGCTTAGGCTTAAACTTCGGTGGGCCAACTTTCGTGGGCCTTTTGCCAACCACCCCTGACTGTGTGATGGTCATTTTGAGACACGTGGCTTATATCCAAGATGGGTCTACACAGAGGTTGGGTGTAGGGGTCTGCACCCAATTTTTTCCCCATATCTCCGGCCCTCTTATCTAGGTTTTTCCAGTATTTAGTTGAGTTCTACTGCTGTTGAGATCCACTATGCGGGAGGTCAATACTATTTCTATGTTTAAGTTTTCTGTAAGTTATCCTCTGTAAGACAACCAGACCTGGTAGATCATGGAAATAAAGCAATCATGCTCTCTAAGACCCGAGCCTTTGATCTAAGATGATTTGTATTTGGTTTTTCCCTTCTTTCTTCCCCCTATTCACCATTTTGCTCGATCTTGAGTTCGTGAGGTTTTGGGGTTGTTGTGTTGGGTTTAATTCGTGAAAGGACACCAGATGAACACCCAGCCAAGTGAATCAGGCAGATTCATCATGAGCACGATTTTTCACCCTAGGGAGAATTTCTTGAGAAAACCCCACTTCCCTAGATGGATATTCAGATCTACATCATTTCCAGAGTTTTTGGGGTTTGATTCTTTGGGGATATCATCTAATAAACCTAAGAATCATCTCAACAGAGTTTGGGAATTTTTGGAGGCGATCCAACTTTAGATTTTTGGGAAGAATTTCAGGGACCTGAGATGATCGAGAAAACCGGCCAGGCCGCCTGAGCCAACCGGCCAGACCGGTTCTTCGCTGTCCAGCCGGCCTCCCAGACGGCCACCGTATATGTATGCTTAATAATATAATATACTTCGATTCATGTGAATAGAGCAAAGAGGATGTAGATCAGATCAGAAACAAAGCAGAGCAGATGCAGTGCCAAGGCACCCTGTAGCTTGGGCTCTCTGTGGCTTTGGACTCAGGTCGACACATGAAAAAAGTAGTCTCATGCGCAATGTATACCTCTTGGCATCATTGGTAGTGATAAGCAAGTCCAATCTGTTTTGCCACGCACTCCGTCTATAAACTATTACTACTACTAATCCATCATCATCTCGACAGTTGTGGGGGATACATATGCAAAAGCCCCTATCAACGAGAGCCGCTATTAATTTCTTCGTGTGGCAAGGGCATCATGGCTGGGCTAGATGCGAGCCTGGCAGGTTGGCGTGTTATGGCTGGGTGCTCTCATTTATTTTTTTGTTTTTGGAAATGCACGTAGTTCAGTGACTAGCCGTGGTCTCTTCTTCTTGGCCCACGACTAGCTTTGGAGCAAAAGACAGCGCAAATCATGTGGTCTCTACCCATGTACCTCAACTTGCTTGTCTTTGTCTATGTTAATTATTGGGTGAGTGTTGGCTCGCACAATCAAGAAGATGTATTGGTAACAATATTCTAACACGTCCATTTCACAGAGCAAAACATCTTGGTTAATTAGGTGCGTATTTGGTGTAGACTTACGATGTCAAGATCATGGCGAGTAATTTTTTTATTCTTATTTTAAACAAAGGCAGCACTCAAGATGCTCGGAACGTTAAAAAGGATAGCCCCCATTTCGGGTTACATTATATGGTCAATTCTGAAAGAAAAGAAAGCAGACAACGATATAGGAAAAATAAAAGGAGTGGGCTTGGGCAGCCAAAAAATTTAGTCTGCTCGTGCTCCTAGATAGGGCTGACACTACCCATTTCGTGGGATTCAAAAAAAAAACTACACATTTCGGGGTCCAACAAGTATTAGTACCTCTGGGCATTATTGGACGGAGGGGTGGTTTGACGCGACGTGACTAGCTAATCTGGCATCTGCTGCCTGTGCAAATCTGGTTTTGGAAGTATAATTTACAAATTAAAAGTGTTTTTAGAAGCAACGGCAGCAGTTGAGCCGACTGTGTATGTATGTAGGTACACTGCCTTGTGAGAGTACTACGACAACTGTGTAACATCATAATCTTCATCAACGTGCCGCTTAGACGTACGAAAAGTTACACAGTCAGTACATATGAAAAGTTGAGTCGTCGACTCGACGACTGACGTCGACTGTGTACCAAACATTGTTTCGTGCAACTAGATGTATTATGATGATGTGACTCGGGTTTCCAAGCACTAGTAGCTAATATTTTTTTTTCCAAGCACGCAACCATACTCGCTACTAGCTCGAGATCTACAACCATGTGGAAAGACTGTATGACAGCGGTTCGCCATGCACAAAAAGCACTGGCAGCTTTTATATTATTATTATACAGTGTGGTACATCGACGTACGTTCTAATCTCTATTATTTGTTGTTTGTTTCTAGTTATATATATACAAGTCTGACGTGCTGACAACGGTGTACATACCATGGTTTGTATAATTTGTTGCACACAGCTTGTACCAAAAATGGGCTTTGCCGTAACGTAAATTCGCTCCGAGGCAAGCCAAGATACGAGTGGTGTAGCATTAACAAATGTTTTGCAACTCCAGACTCGAAGTGAGAAGGATGAGACTGAAATACTAGATCTATCGAGTGAGAGATGAGCAGGCGAGATAAATAGTGGGGGGCGACCGGACCGAGTGATGAAAGAGGAGTAAGTGCCTAATGAACCTACAGTGAAGGAGAGAGTACGTGGGAGATTGAATAAAAAAAATTCATGCTGCAAGTAAAGTTTATTTTTATTCCATATGCTCAGATGCATGCATGTAGCAGCAATTGGAGAGATGCCATGCCACTAAGTAGAAACAATAGCAGCAGATCACTGTCCACACGAGACACGACACGCTAAGCGCTGGATGAAGACAAATACTACTTGCGCGTGCATGCATGTGACCCCAGAAGGCCAGCTTTATTATTTTGCGGTTGTTCCGGCTCGGCCTGTGCGATTACTGAAAAGTTTTTTCTTTTGTGAATAGATTAGTCAAAAGTTAAGTGGGCATGCATGTGATTCCAATTCTTTAACGGCGATGAACGAGAAATATACTAATAAAGACTTGTGTCAGTCAAGTTGCTACTCCTCTACTCCATTTCCTATACAAGGGGAGTCGCTTCCTGCTGGGATCATCGCCTCACGCATTCTGCCGCACTCTCTTTCGTTCCGCATTCTGCCCCGCAATAAGTTGAGGTGAGCATTATATAGTTAATTTCCTTCCGCGATGTTTTCTCCATGGACGACCGAGTAGCATTATATAGTTAATTTTGATATCAAGTTATGCTCTCTGGGGATTATGAGACAAATCTGTGCTTATATATGTATGATTTACTACTAGCAGGTAGATAGGCTTGAGCCATGGCGGCTGCCCTGGATGCTTTAGCACCCTACGTGAAGAAGCTTATCGCAGACATCGCGAAATTTGGATTTTGGGTTTACTGTAGCACCTTCGTTTTTATTTGGCAAATAGTGTCCAAACATTGACTAATTAGGCTTAAAACGTTCGTCTCGTAATTTCCCACCAAACTGTGCAATTAGTTTTTCTTTTCGTCTACATTTAATGCTCCATGCATGGACCGTAAATATTCGATGTGACAGGTACTGTAGCAACTTTTTGGAAATTGGGTAGCAACTAAACAAGGGCTAAAGTAACAAAGTGGATAAAGGCATGTGTCTGCCACTATAGAAAAAGAAAGCTGTGCCTTTTCCAGGAGATGTCTCAGTTTGTTTTCATATATCAGAATAATATATGTTTGATATTATCTTGTCCCCGCTTTCGGCCCCTCAATCTTGACACCTTCTCATTGAGATTGGGGAAGGTTTTAGGTAGTGATAGGTGATCAAATAAAGAGAAGTGTAAAGGTTGTTGTTAGAAAACAAGCTTTCAGGGTATTGCGGTTCTAGACTGCCAAGCTTTTAGAAAAGAAGATGCTTAATTATTGCTTATATATTATATAATATACATGACTGACGACTCACGGTCACGGATCGATGATCATCGTCACGAGGGAGGTTATTAGCTCTCTCTCTGAGCAGGAGTCGAGCACAAGGGAGCAGCAGCCTTCCTTCTGCCAAGCCTGTCATCTTCTGCTCCGTCTCTGAGCTCCTAGTCTCCATCCCACAACCGCCGTCCCTGAACTCAACTCCGTATTCACCGACAAGATCCACTCCAGAAGCCGTTGCACCCGACCTCCTTCCATCTTCAACGCCGAGATTTCAAGGTAGCTCCTTTCTGATATGATTCGTTCTCAGAGACCTAGCAAAACAGACTCGATCTGCAGTCCTTGCTAGCTGCTCTTTTTTTTTTTTTTTTTTTTTTTTTGAGAAAACTGGAGGGCCGAAGCCCCTGCTAGCTGCTCTTCTCGATGTAATTAACCACTAAAGGTTTCAGATCATGAACATGAACCCACTCATCGGTATGACATGTTAACTAATCCTTGTTTTGCTTAACGAAGATATCAATCTATAAGGTCATCCTGGCTTTAACAGAGTCCTTACAGTCCAAAATATAGATGACGTACGTTTAAGCTGACGAAGAAATCAATCTACAATACTGCACCTTGGCACTTAGTTACCTTGACTACTGATTTGTTACAGCTGACTAACAGGGCTGGTAGATATTCCGGATCTATCTAATGGTTCAGGATTTTTTGCTTGCTCATGTAGGAACTGTGCTTGAGAGTTGAGACATGGCAGCCGTCCTGGATGCCTTGGCACCCTACGTCAAGAAGCTAATAACAGACATGGCACAAGACGAGGTTTCCATGTTGCTGGGCATCTCCGCCGAGATCACCAAGCTGGAGGACAACACGGAAGGCCTCAAAGCCTTCATGGCAGATGCCGAGAGGAGGCACATCACTGACACGAGCGTGCAAAGATGGTCAACAAAGCTCAACAACGCCATGTATGACGCCACTGACATCCTCGACCTGTGCCAGCTCGAGGCCAACAAGCGCAGGGAGTCCAGAGGTGGCGATGGCATAGAACAGAAGTTGCCCAGCTGCTTCCAGCCATTGCTCTTCTGCCTGCGGAATCCCGTGTTCGCACACAAGATAGGCAGCCGCATCAAGGAGCTCAACCAGAGGCTGGAAAGCATCCACAAGGAGGCGGACAAGTACAAGTTCAATATTGGCCTCGGTTCCAACCCGGAGCCAAGGAAGCTAACTACTGCTGAGCCATCCAGCTATAGGACAAGTTCACTTGTCGATGAGTCAGCCATAGTTGGGGAACAGATAGAGAGGGATACAAGGGAGCTCATTCACTTGCTAACCTCAAGTGATGATAATCACAACATCAAAGTTGTGTCTATAATTGGTGTTGGTGGCATGGGAAAGACTACTCTTGCCCAGAAGATCTTCAATGATGCAACCATCCAAGAGCACTTCAAGACAAAGACGATATGGCTAAGCATCACTCAACAGTTTGACGAGGTTGAGCTACTGAGGACAGCAATCAAGCATGCTGGAGGCGACCATGGTGCTGAGAAGGACAAAAACACTCTGACGGAGACCCTATTCCACACCCTGTCCAGTGGAAGGTTTCTGCTGGTGATGGATGACGTGTGGAGCCAGAAAGTGTGGAACTATGTGCTTAGTGTCCCAGTCAGAAATGCTAGCAAGAAACAACCTGGAAGCAGGGTCCTTGTCACCACAAGATCTGCACACCTACCCCAACAGATGCAAGCCCCCCTTCACCAACACCGTGTCAAGCCTCTAGAAAATGATGATGCTTGGTCTTTGCTCAAGAAGCAGCTGCAGCCTGATCAGGTTAGTTGTCTATCCATACTTTATACAACTAGGCTATATACTTGATTTTGATAGAAAGCATATGGATCGGAGTTCCGTTAAATCTAAGCATTCGTGCTAGGAACACCAGCTTACAAGAGTAGCAAAAGGAGACCAGTAAAACTATGATCTAGAAGAAATAATCAAATGTAACAACAAAACACTAGGATCAAGCTAGCTATTATTCACTCCAATGAAAGATTTAGTGCATGGCTAGCTCCGTATGAAATCTAGCTATTTGAAATTTGATTCTATTTGAAATGTAATATCAATTATAGTGGAAGTTAATAGTTACCAATATACCCCTGACTATTATAGTGCAACAATTAATAGTTATCTAAAAAATTCATAACTTTTGCATATGAAGTCGTATGAACATAAACTTTAAATATAATCAAAATTGTAGAGCTCAATAATATCTATAACTTTGTAATTGACAAATTCTTTGTTTCAAACTATTTAGGTTGCCAAAACTTCCTCTGAAATTATCAAATTTTGACAAAATCTATAAATATAAATGATCTCGAGATATTGACATGGTATATACAAAATTTGTAGTTATCAGTAGGATCTAAACTTTGTAGATAATAATTTTTTATCTGAAGTAATATAGAGCCGCCTCTTAAATTTTGAAATCCAAAATTTAGGAATTTCAAATTACTTCGAACATTGGAACCGACGTTTTAAAAATGTTAAATTTCAAATTTAAAAATATAAAATAATAAAATAAATATTCAGCATTCTAAACTACTTAAGATATTCTAACTTTGAATTTAATATTTGTGAATTTGATTTCATACTATAAATAATTTTCAATCCAAAACTTGTCAACAACAAAATTATAGATCTCACTAAGCACTATAATTTTGATATAAAGTTAAATCTTCATCCAACTTTATATGCAATTATGAATTTTGGATAACTATTAAAGGTTTGTATTATAATAGTCAGGTGTGCATTTTGGTCACTTTTAACTTCTCTCTCCAAAGTAGTCCTTAGAAATATTATTTTATTAGCAACATTGTCTAAGAACCAATTACCAGCATTGAAAAGTACTTTGTAGCAAAGACAACAGTGAGCAGTGTCCCTTTGCAAAGACCACCATTGAAGAGTGCCCTACCGCAAATCTTTACAATATGGCACACTTTTAATATGTTGGTCAATCTAAGTGTCTGGTCATATAGAAGAACCATAGTCAAATTACACTTGAGCAAAGCGTAGCCTCCTTGAGCTGACGAGGCCGGGCTCCCGAAGTTGAGGACTGCCCGAGCGAAGGTGTTGGCTGTGACGGAGAACTCACCGGGAAGCGGGACGCCACCGTGCAGGCGGCGCCACTTGCTCTGGCGACGAGGTGGGTGGCTCCAAGCCACTATAGAGCAGAATCACACTTGACGTGCTCCCCTACCTAGAGCGCCAGCTGTCACGGGATCAGAACCCCGGCAAGCATTGTTGTTCGTATTAGTGTCAGAGTACATGTCTCTAGTGTCTTGGGTGGACTCAAGAACACGAGAATCAACAGAGGGGACGCAATGGTTTATCCTGGTTCGGGCTCTCGGGTCCCTACGTCCAACAGCTGATGATCCTTATACTCAAGAGAACCCAAAATCTGGGGGTTACAACAGAGTGTAAGAGAGAGAGAGATTTGTAGGGGATCGCTCGGTGCTGATCCTAGGGAAGCCTTGCCGCCAGTGGAGCCTTCCCCCCTCACCGAAGAGGAGGAAGACGATCGGAGGAAGGAGAAGGAGCTCTCGGTGCCCCTCTCTGGGTGGATTTGCTCTTGGTGCAGAGCACGAACTGGTTTGCTGAGGAGTCCAACAATCCGTCTCTGGATCATCTAGAATTGTGTTCTAGAATCATATCATCCTCTCCCGTCTTAGGATCCAACCTCCCCATACATATCAAGGTAGGTCGGGTACATGACAGTTTTTGAGAATTTAGCCTATTCTCTACATGCGTCGGAGTCCAGAAGGGTCCTGCTGTGGCGTCATGTGGACCGTGGCGATGTCGTGGAGCCGAAGAAGCCCAGAGCATCGTCCGGCTACTCTATTCTGACACGCTGAATGTCAGGCTATGTCGGCTTGGACTGGTCTTCACCAGGTGCACCTTCTGGAGGCTTCTTGGTGGCGAAGACAGCCGGCTTGGGGGGCTGACACGCGAGCCCGGAAGCCCTGGAGCCCCCGAGGCTAGAGGAGGAGTTTGGCTTCTTGCGTCACGCCCAGTGCGTGACCCTTTCAGAGGAGCGGTTGACAGCGCCGCACCCGCGGGGCAGTGACGGGGAGCCCCCGAGCCTTGGTGGCTCAGGGGGTTTGCCTCCAGCCCGAGCCTTTGCTAGAACCGAAGGGCGGGAAGGGGCTAAGGATCGGGTCCATGCTCCCTTCGATCGGGAGCCTGGGGCTCGGGTGAGCCCCCGAGTCCCAAGCAGAGGCGCTGGGCATGCTCGGGCTCGGCCCAATGCCTTAGCCGGAGGGTGCGCGCGAGCGCACCCGATGGGTGTAGCCCCAGAGCGATCCGGGAGGGGTCGGTCGTGGGATCTCTCGGTTGGGAACCCTTGATCCTGAGGCTTAACATATCTCTATGCTTGGATTTCGTCAATAAGTAACCTCTAAATATAACGTTTGTCTAAATTATCCACCTATGCCATTACAAACCATAATGTAAAGTAGTCCAAAATTTACAACTAAATTACTCAGTCTACCATTTCTTATAAACCAAAACGAAGACCCTAAGTTTGCATATAAATGAATATTTTAATGCATCAAGTGCGTCCTAGTAGATAATGCCTAGGTTTCGACTTTCGACTATCCTAGTCGTCCTATAGCTAATAATAGCTGCCACACAACAAATTTAAAACGCAAAGAGACCGTTTGAAGTCAGATTCCTGTAGCCACAAGAAAACTTTTTTTTTTGCAAGGAAAGACACTACAAAACTTTCTGTAGTATAGTCCTGTTTCCCGAATGAGAACATTTAAAGCCCAATTGCAATGAACGGATTCCATATATTAGTCTTATGGGATTTTGCGCCCATTCATGTGGATTCCATTTGAAATCGGCCCTTTCCAAGCATAGTCTTATATTTATTTTCGAATAAAGGACGGTACACTTCCAATACGTTGGCCAACCTACGCTTCATTGTTTTACAGAAGAAGCTTATTTGCTTAGAGAAGTACATAAGCAACCTGATAGTTGTTAGAAATAATTAAGAAGCTTTAAATTAAATGTTGGCAGGTATATGGAATTGATCAACTGAAACCTATTGGGATGGAAATTCTTGAAAATTGTGATGGCTTACCACTTGCAATTAAAGTGATTGGAGGTCTCTTGAGCACAAGATACCCAAGTGAGCATGAGTGGAAATCTGTTTTGAACAAGCCAGCTTGGTCATTGACCGGACTGCCTCCAGAACTCGACAACCGGCTATACTTGAGCTATGAGGACTTGTCTCCCCAGATAGTAACTAGGATGTGGATTAGTGAAGGATTTATCCAACCTTTGGATGGTAGTAGTACTATTTCACAAGAGTATGAGTTCGAAGAGATGGCAACTGAGTACTACCAAGAGTTAATAAAGAGGAACCTTATAGAACCTACAAAAGAATATTCTCTCACCGGATACCGGTGCACCATGCACGATGTGGTCCGCACCTTTGCTGAATACATGGCAAGAGAAGAATCACTAGTGGTGGTGGTTGGCAGAGAACAGGCTGCTAGTGCTACTGGTATGCATGTCCGTCGCCTCTCCATAGACCAGACCGTATCAGTACTGGATTGGGGCATTTTGCAAAGGCGAGAGTCACTTAGGACATTAATTATAAATTCTAGAGTAAACTTTCATCTTCCTGGTGACTCGCTGAGTAGTTTCTCTAGCCTACGGGTACTGTACATATGGTCTGCTGATTCTAATAGATTGGTTCCCTCTCTATCTATGTTGAAGCACTTAAGATACCTTCGCTTAAAGGATACTGATATATCTAGGCTACCGGACGACATCCACAAGATGAAATTTCTACTATACATTACACTTGTTGACTGTAACAAGCTATGCTATCTTCCTAGCAGCATCATAAGACTTGTGCATCTAAGATCTCTTAACATCGAGGGATCAAATGTCAGTGCCGTGCCTAAGGGGTTCAGTGAGTTAACAAATCTGAGGTCACTTTCTGGCTTCCCAGTACACGTGGACATGGATGCAAGCAATAGCTGGTGCAGTTTGCAAGAGCTGGAGCCTCTCTCTCAGCTTAGGGATCTTACATTATATGGCCTAGAGAAGGTGCAGGACAGCCGGATGGCTGAAAAGGCCATGATTAGCAGCAAGCGCCACCTTCAGTATCTAGAGTTGAACTATAGTGCAAGTGGACATACTATAGGGACAGATGGTGCTGAGGCAGAGCAGCAGCAGCAACAGAGTGTGACCGAGGAAATCTTGGAAAAGCTCTGCCCTCCAACCTGCCTGGAGCATCTACGTGTGATTGGAGGATACATTGGTCGCCGGCTACCAGACTGGATGTGTGCTCCAGCATCGTCAGAGTTTAAGAGCATAAGGTATTTGAGGTTAGAGAACCTGCCTTGCTGCACCCAGCTCCCTGATGGTCTGTGCTGCCTCCCAAGTTTGGAATTGCTGATCATCATAGACGCGCCAGCCATCAATCGTATTGGCCCCCAATTCCAAGCGTCATCCTCCGTGGCAGCTAGAGGTTCCACTGCTAGTACATCTGCACCGTTTCCGAAACTGAGAAGACTGAATATGGTTGGGCTACGTGAGTGGGAGGAGTGGGAATGGAATGACTGTGAGGAGCATATGGATGTGGAAACTGCCATAGCCATGCCTTGTCTGGAGAGACTCCAAATCGAAAACTGCAAGCTGAGCTGTCTTCCACCAGGCCTCGCCAGCACCAAGAGGCGTACTCTTAGAGAACTATGCCTTTACGAGCTCACCAACCTGACACATGTGGAGAACATCCCTTCAGTTGTGGAACTTGACGTGTTTGACTGCCCTGAGCTGAAGAAGATCACAGCACTCGACAGCAGGTTGCAGGAGATTAGGATCGTTCGCTGCACAAAGCTGGAGGTTCTAGAAGGTGGCACAGCACTCGACAGCCTTGTACTGCAGGACACCACCATGGAGACGCTTCCAGGATACCTGCGAGCAGTAAACCCAAGATATCTCAAGTTGTATTGCAACAAGAAGCTATACGAATCCTCCTCATCTCCAGGTAGCTCCGAATGGGACAAGATCAGCCACATTGGAAAACGCGACATCAACTGCCTCGAAGATTGAGATGCAGACCAAGACTGGTAACTGCGTAGCTGCCTCGAAGATGGCGCGTGTGTTCAGGTAAATTGCATTCTTTCACTAGGCCGGAAGTGAGTTTTCATATTTATTAATTATTGCTTGTACTCTGATTCGTTGCAGGAAAAGCTTTCATTGGACCACACATAGAACAGCTGGGCATCAAAATATATGGTGGTTAAACAAAGTGTTGCTACAGCCAGCCCGTCCGACGAGAGGACATCTACAATTGTTAACAATCAATTGTCTTGGAACAAAAGAAAAACACAGTGCTTGTGTTCACCTTTTCCCTGTTCAAGTCTGGCCAAAGTATGTGTATTATCATCTCTTATATTTGTAATTATATTTTTTCTCTCAAATTATTACGTATTTTCAAGTGTCATTATGCACTGACCGTGTAACTAATGTATGCAGGCATCCAGGATCCTTATGGCAGACACATGATGTTAGCTTGCACTGGCAAGTGGGACTAAGATCTGCTTGGTAGAAGCTCGTCTCCAGCATGCAGACTGTCGACATACTACCAAATCATGGTTACGGATACCGTCTCCTGCACTCTTGTAGTCTTGACCATGTATATTTGTACACTCCATATATATTTTTTGAAGTAATGGACCTATATATATTTGCACAAGTAATAGGCCTGAAGTCGTGGATCTTGTAATGGACCGAATGTGTGGTGATGAAAGCAGACATGCAGTAAGAACATTGTATTCTGACCTGATTGATGATAATGAAATCAGGCATCCCAATCATTATTGTTGGTCGATCTTACTCAGCCTCCTCAATGTAATGGCGATTATGGAGTTTTCCTCTCCTCTAATCTTGTGGCAACACCATGTGTCCTCTGCTTTTGTCGCCTGCACTGCACCAATATATGAAGGCCCTCTGCTTTGTGAGGGAGGCAGAGCAAATGGGCAGGACGAGCCTTCACTGTGTCTGCAAAGCTGTTACTGAGGAATATAATGGTTCATTCATACTTCTTTGGAAGCACGGGACAGCATGCAGTTCAGTCAACAGAGTAAGGACGAAGTATAACAGAGCAGAGACAGAGCAGAGCAGAGCACAGCCACCCTCTCGTCGCTTGGTTTATGGGCCTTGCACCAGAACACCTCTGTCACTTGGGCTCTCAACCTGTACGAGGAGCTTATACCAACCTGATATATATGTGCAGAACTTCCCATCAGTTGTCGAGCTTGACGTGTCCCTCTGCCCCAAGCCCAAGAGGGCCACTGGCCTCAGCAGATCGCAAAAGACTATTGATGCCACCATGGAGACACTTTCGGAATACCAAACATCAGTAAGCCCGAGGTATCTCTAGGTTACAGAAAATCAGGATCATCGGTTGCCCAAATGAGCAGGTGCTAAAAGGAGTCCCATCACTAGACAGCATGGAGGTTATTGTTCTTGTTAAGAGGCAGCTCATCTGAGAACGACGAGATCAGCCATATCAAGTGAGTCGACTGCATTCCTGGAGATGAAAACTTTGATGTCGCTTGGTTTTTGCAGCGCCTGATCAGAAATAAAGCAAGTGTATATTTAGCCAGGGCCAGGTAGTTAATAATTTTCTCTCGCAACACATTGCTCGTCTTAGTATGGATTTTTGATGCAACCAACTTTATGTACGCAGGGATGGGATCCTATACATTCCTTTCTGCCATTGGAGCGGGCGGGGCCAGGGATCATCATCTCTAGCTGGCAGATTTAATTTCAGTTTTCTACACTGTCACACAGAGGACAGTTGCAAAGACACGATCGACCACCTACTACCAAATCATGAGAAGCCAAAGAAGCCGGTGCGTGGTCGAGGTGCTAGAAAGGAAAGGGTGCCGGCCTCTGCAGATTTTGGCTGGACGACGCCAAATTTCGTGTCCAGATCAGGAGGGAGCAAAACGTTTTATTTTTAAGTCTTTTACCTATGTGCCATTATAAAAGATGGTTCTAACCTACATGCCACAAAAAAGTTCGAACACATCATGGTGCCACTAGCCTTAACTCTTTTGTCCCACACGCCATTTTGTCCACCTTCTATCTGATTTTTGCCATTTGCCAGTCCTGACATGTTGGTCCGCACAGTGAAAATGTCTAAACTACCCTTCTCTCGTAACCCTATCCCCTACTTCCTTTCTCTCACTGTCCTGTGGGACCAAGCTGTAAGTGATCAGGGCACCTTCCTCCTCAACCTGTCAGTGACCCAGCTCAACACGCCCCCCCACGCGTCCCCTGCCGCTGAGGATCTCAACCATCACACAGGCGAGCGACCACACGTCAGTGAGCGTGTCGCGGTCGGCATTCTTCACTAGCACCTTGTGCGCCATGTACGCAAGGGTTCCGGCGAAGGTCTGCCGCAGCTCCTTCTCGTTCGCAGACTTGGACACCGCGTAGTTGCAGATTTTGAAGGTGACGACGTCGCCCATGAGGGTCTTATCGGGCTTGATGTCTCAGTGGACGACGTCGTTGCACATCTTAACGACGACACCGCGTTCGCCCTGGTTGAGCCTGTGCCCCTCCTGATTGTACTCGCGAGCGTTGGCCATGCGCCGCTTCTGCCTGCGGGCCTTGGGCTTCGCCGTCGGGGACGAGGCACGGAAGACGAAGGCCGAGTGCTCCCCGATGGCCACGTCGGCCGCTGGCGCGCCCTCGCCTCACCGCGCATGCGCCGCTCCCTTCCCCGGGTCGTGGTCGCCGCCAAGAGCCACCGTAGCTGCCAGCTGCTGCGCGTGGGCAGTGCGCCCCGTGCCATCTCCCACTTGGCCGCGAGCTTCCATGGGCGCGCACGGGTGCCCTGGTGGTTGCGCACCGTAGAGTCAGTAGCAGGCTAATAAGAGCCTCGAGGCCGCGGCCGCGGCTACGTCCGCCCAGTGCGGCGGCATGAAGCAGAGGAGTGTCAAGGACCTCATGTTCGGTGGCGCAGACGAGGAGATCAGGGTCCTGCGTAGCGAGCTCCGGATGGCGATGCAGGGCGAGGAGAGGAGCCGCAAGGTGCTGACGATCTCTCCGTTGCACTCTCCAACGAGAGAAAAAGTAAAATGAGGAAAAAAAGAAAAAGGAGAAAATAAATTCCAGAGGACATTTTAGACTTTTTCTACTGTGGTTTGACACCGATAGAGGCAAATATGGACGGAATGGCGTGTGGGACAAAAGAGTTAAGGCCAGTGGCACCAGGGTGTGTTCGAACTTTTTAATTGCCCGTAGATCAGGACTATTTTTTATAATGGCACACGACTAAAAGGCTCTCTATTTTTCCCGGCCACGCAGGGACACAGCTGGGTGCCAGATATAATATTACTATATGATATTATATGGTGAATTAGCAGAGTGTTGATATAACGAACTGGAGAGGTGAGACTGAAGCACTAGCTGTATCCTTGCTTTCACACGTATATATTTGGTTTCAGAAGTGCTAGCGTCCGGACGTTCGGACAGACACTCACGTTCGGACATCCGCACACTACACTCCATTTCGCGCTCCACATGGAGCCCGCGCCGCCTGAGCGACAAGAGGGGAAGGGCGCATGATGCCTTGCTAACGCCGGGAGAGACGATGTAGCAGAAGTTAGGGAGGGGACATGCAACACTTGATCTACTTTTGAAACATCCAAATACAACAGTTGCAACATAAGTCTGAAGGCAGTTGAAACACTTGAAACATGCTTTTGAAGCACTTGAAAAAACACATGAAAAACACTTAAAAACCATTGCAACGATATGCAAACATCCAAATAAAACACATGCAACGTATGTGTGAAACATGTGCAACATCCAGATAAACATGCTTGCAACTTGCATCCGGAAAACACCGATGAAACATACCTCTGAAACATCTGAAACACTCAAAACATACGGTTGCAACATGCCTCTGAAGCAATTGCAATATATCCAACATGTGCAACATCCTCCGATCTACTTTTGCAACATCCATATTAAACAAATGCAAGATACATCTGAAACGCCTGAAACATTTAAAACATACATATGCAACATAGGGGAGGGGAAGGCTGGCCGGTCGATTCCGGCCACCGGGATGGGGGGAGCTCGGTCACCAGGGTGAGAGAGGGCGCCGCCAAGGGTGGGGAGGGCGCTGGGCCAGGGTGGGGCAGAGCCGCCCAATCTCCTGCAACACCGCTCGTGCTCCATGGATCTTGCCTGGGTGGAGGAGAGGGCCACCGGATCCGTGGGCGTTGGGCGCTCCTAGTGGGTGCGAACGCCGGGGTGCGGGGAGGGGCGCTGCCGGGGTGGGGAAGGTGCCGCTGGGGTAGGGGAGGAGGCCGGGGAAGAGGACGCCGGGGTGGGGGAGCGCACCGCCTCCGGCCAGGGAGGCAGCCATGCCCGCGCGTCGGGGTAGGCGCAGGGCGCGAGCGCGGAACGGAGGAGGAAGCGAGGAACTGGGTGCGGGAGCAAGCAGAGTGAAGCATCCGTCCGTTCCGGACGTCTTAATTGGAACATTAGCGATTTGGTTTCTCTGAGTTGTACAACTAATGGAGATGTGAGGACTTGCGCACGTACAGTATGTACTAGTGTTGTGTGCATGATTTCGACCAATTGACATGTTTTACTATAGAACATGTTTGTTCACGTCCCTCCCTTGTTAATTAATGTAGTCTATTGATTGGGAACAAGTATATTATACACATCCATATGCCAAAAATCTATGCACCCATAAGGCAAGCACTCCCCGCCTTAAATTTGTTCTAGCTCTGCCCCTACATCCGTGGTCGTGAAAATCCTCATCAGCAAGGTGAGTGTCACCGGCTGTGGCCTAGACCTCAAAGGTACGCTCTTCGATGGGAACAAAAAAAAAATGGGTGGGGACGGTCCCCATGAAGCAACCTTGGGCACCCGTCGTGGATTTGTGGCACGCGTCCATGTACATGCATCCAATGTATAAGAGAGATGTAGTTTTTTTCTCATTATACCTCCTAAAATTAACCAATTGTTTCATTTGTTAGATGGACACGTGTACCAAACTCATCGCGGGTGCCCATAGTTACTCCATTTTTTCCGGAGAAGATAGATATCAAAAGTTCTGCCTCTAATGCAAAAGGTCAAATATAATAACGTTCTTGTCAAGGCCATAAGCAACAGCAGCAGCCGTCGGCTCACAGACGATGGATCCGCATAACATTTGGACCAGCGATTACCCCAGCACCCTTGGTGGCCTGTCTCTGGGAGTCATTGAAGTAGGCCAGGTGTGTTGATGAACGAAACGTTGTGTAACAGCGTTCTCTGCAGATCCTCTGCTTTGCATCAGTATATCATATACACAGATACTCTGCTTTGCAAGGAAGGAAAACATAACGGGTCAGAGCAGATCACAACCCAAATGGCCGGCCGGCACCAGCCTCCTTGCGACACCATGTATGCATGCATGGGTGCGATTGAGAAAGCATAGATGTAGATGCAGTTACCACAGATTACCACAAATTATCAGTCACCATGTAAGGGATAATTTGCGATGTGCGCAACTATGACCTGCGTCCGGCATGCATATGCTGTCTGCGGTGAGATTCCAGAATTCATTCGAGAAGGAAGGAAGGAAGGAAGGAAGGAATTGTCTCCATCTAGATCCAAAACCCAGTATCAAGTTCCAGAAGCAAGGAATTCCTGCGTTGCGTTGCCGATGGACATTGGAAAAGAACAACTATGAGTAGTGCATAGGATAGGGTATTCCAGTTCCAGCAATGTCTCTGCTTTCTAGAACAAGCACAATTAGGTTATTATCATCATCTCTAGCTGGCAGATTTAATTTCAGTTTTCTACAATGTCAGATAGAGGACAGTTGCAAAGACACGATCGACCACCTAGTGCCAAATCATGAGAAGCCTAGAAGCCGGCGTGGCCGAGGTGTGTGCTGGAAAGGAAAGGGTGCCGGCCTCGACAGATATCAGCTGGCCTTTAGGCTGGACGACGCCAAATTTTCAATTGCAGATCTCGAGGAGGGAGCAAAACTTTTTGTTTTCCCCGGCCACAGAGGGACACGGCGGGGTGTCAGGTATAATATTACTATATGATATTATATGGTGAATTAGCAGAGTGTTGAAATACCGAGCTGGAGAGGTGAGACTGCAGCACTAGTTGTATCCTTGCCTGCGCACGTATATATTTGGTTTCTATGAGTTGTACAACTAATGGACTAGTGTTGTGTGCATGCTTTCAACTTATTGACAGGTTTTACTATAGAACATGTATGTTCCCATCCCTCCCTTGTTAATTAATGTAGACTATTGACTGAGAACAAGTATATTATAGACATCATATCCATATGGCAAAAAACAATGCACCCACAAGGCAAGCACACCCCGTCTTAAATTTGCTCCAGCTCAGCCCCTACATCCGCGGTTGTGAAAATTCTCACCATCAAGGTGAGTGTCATGAGTTGTGGCCTTGACCTCAAAGATACCCTCCTCGATGGGAAAAAAAAAATGGGTGGGGACCGTCCCCATGATGCAACCATAGGCCCCCATCATGGATTTGCGACATGTGTCTATGTGCATGCATGCAACGTATAAGAGAGATGTATTTTTTGTTTCCAATTATTCATTCTAAATTTAAGCAATAGTTTCATTTGTTAGATGGACACATGTACCAAACTCATCGCGGGTGCCCATAGTTACTCCATTTTTTCCCCGAGAGGAGAGATATCATAAGTTTTGCCTCCAATGCAAGGTCCAATATAAAAACATTCTTTTGTCAAGGGCATAAGCAATATCAGCAGCAGTCGGCTCATAGATGCGCATAACATTTGGACCAGCGATTACCCCAGCATCCTTGGTGGCCTGCCTCTGGGAGTCATTGAAGTAGGCCAGGCGGGTACAGTAACAACAGTGTCAATGAACCGAATGTGTGGTGATGAAATCTCTTGTGGTACAGTAACAAACAACAAGCAGACATGCAGCACCAACATTGTATGCTGATCCCAGATGTTTTGACGTATGATTTTCCAGTCACCGTGGCTGTAATCATCTTTTGTAGTAGAACCTTGATTGGAAAAGCAGGGGAGGGAAGTGGAAGCGATGTACGCAACTCTAAAGTAAGGCATAACTTGCCATGTGCGCAACTCTGACCTGCTGCCGGCATGCATGCTGTCTGGGTACAAAAAAAACCCTGCCGCGAGATTCCAGAAGGAAGGAATTGTAAGTGAGACAGAACAACTCTAAAGTTTGGTTCTTAAGAGTGTGTAACAAGCATTGTATCTTCGTCTCCTTTCTTCCATTAACATAGCGGCTGTGGTGGCAGATGTATTGCCTTTAACAAAAGCGGCTGTGGTGGCAGTTGTCAGCAGCGTGGAAACCCAAGCTCTCCATCTACCTACATCCAAAGCCCAGTATCAGTTCCAGAAGCAAGGAAAAGAACAAACTATCAAGCAAGCACAAATTAAGTTATTATTATAGTTAATTAACAGTACGTGCATTTATCA